CAGGAGGGGAGACTCAGCACTCGTGGAAATGCTTGCTCAGGTTCTGCTGTCCTGGGCAGTGTCCAATCCCTCTCCTCCCGGGGCCATCCTCCTCCACACCACCCAGTCATGGGCGGGCTCTCCCAGGTGGGCAGCGGGCCCTGCCTACTGTGCAAGGGGAACCCAGTGGCTGTGAGCACCGGCCTCCCGGCAAACTCCACAGGGGTCCCGACAGCACCTGCTGAGCCACCAGGAGCCTCAACCGGTCCCACTTTCCTCACCTGATGGGGAAAGGAAAGCAGAGCAGAGTCTAAGTGTTCAGAAAATGCAACTGAGCGAGTTTCCCTTATGTTGATGAATTCTGGAGCACATCACACGACGAAGCCACACCAGGACGGTTAAGAGCGGGGCCCCAAGCAGCAAGGAGGAGAGAACCACTTGGCCAGAGACGGCCGGAGCGGACCTGCTGGGGTCCTGTCCCAGAGTGCTGTGGCCGTCTCCCAGGCCCACTCCACAGCCGTCACTCACGGCCATAGGGCCCAGGGCCTGTGTCCTCTCTGGACCCTGAGCTGAGGTTCCCCAAGGGGCACCTGTGCTGTGCGGAAGCTCCAGGTGCCCGGGAAGGGACAGCGCTGGCAGCACAGCTGAACGTGAAGAGGGGGTACCACGGGCAGGGAGCCCCCACAGAGGCCCAGTGCAGATGTGAGAGCAGCTGAGTCCAGGGGAAGGGCAGAAATAAGGTCAGGGTCAGTGAGACAAAGCCACAGGCCACCGCGAGGTCCAGGTCACAGGCAGGACCCAGCCCCAGGCCACATCCTGGGGCTCCCAGCTGAGGCAGTGTCAAGGACAGCATGCCATCCCCTTCCAACACTCGCTGGCCCTGTGCCTGGGTGTGGTCCTAGCTGATTGACTCTCGGGAAGGTATTTATTATTTACTATTATTCATTCTTTACCAGCTTGGAGATCACTGCTGAGTACATCCTCGTTACACCACGCAATTAAGACATAGTGTGCAAAAATGAAAGAAAATCGTGACTTTGAGTTCTACCAAGTGGTCTGTTGTCTCTCTACAATGCCTGTGTATGTACAGAAGTCAAAATGTGTGATCCCATCTGCAGCCCTGAAGAGGACGTGATTGACGCCTCGCCCTCAGACGCACTCATCACGTGTTGAAGCTTGGCTTCCAGGCGAGGGCTTCTGTGTTTGTACCCAAGCTTGCCTTCCCTCTCAGCATGTCGGTGGATTCACAGACAGGCATCATGGAGATGGAGATGGAAATACAGGGACTTCCTGTCAGCTCCTTTCTATAGCTTTGAATACTCGGGACCACAATTGTGATTTTGTGAATAAAAACATACTCTGGCGGCTTTCTGCAGGCCCGGCGCTGTGTGGTCCTGGGAGTCACAGGACCCCCACATCCCACTGCCGATGCCAGCCTGGGCATGGCTGTGTGCAGTATGGCATTGGTGGCCACCATCGAGGGTGATGACCGTAATGCTGATGATGGTGGCCAGCGGTTCCATGCTGTGTCCAACACCCTCTCCTCTGTGGGAACCACTGTCCACCCCCTGCCTGCCGCTCCCTCATTGCCAGGCCAAGGGAAAGCCACAGAGCCCATGTGTGGTGACTCACAGCCCCAGCAGGTAGGAAATGCTGGGAGAGGAACTGGGAGACAAACGGCCCTCTGGCATGGCCCCCTCCTTGGAAGACAAGTCCTGGGGCCCCTGGGACCCTGGCCAAGTCACTCTAAGGTGAGGTCAGCTCCGACAGCCCAGCCATCCACAGGACCCTGAGAAGTAATGGGGACGGGTGGGAGCAGGGGCAAAGAAGAAGGCCGTGGAAATGTCGCCCCGGCCCCCTCTTCCAGAGCCAGGGACAGACTCAGATGCTGTGCCAGAGATCTCAGCTCTACCAGCGGCCCAGAGCTCCTCGTCACTCCCCTGCCCTGCAGAGCAGTGACCGTCCTCTAGATCTCCCTGCCTCTGACTCTAGGAGTCCGTGAGCTCCTGTTGGCCAGCGCTAAGCCCCAGAGCCCTGCCCACAGAGCCTGGCGAGCCCCGACCAGACGCGTCCTCCCGGTGAACCAGCTGGCAGGCCTCGACCTGGCAGCCAGCAGCCATGTGCTCCACCCAGTGCTCAGGACAGGAGGAGCCTGAGGGGCCAGGAAGCAAGCCCAGACCTCGAGGGAACCAAGGTGTCCCCAAGCCCCGGGCTGTGGGAGGGAGGGCTTCATCACCAACGAGAGGGCCATGTCTGTCTCTGTACTTCGTGGTGACCAGGGCCACGCAACATGACTCCAGGGGGTCAGCTGCTCACGTGGGCACTGGCCTAAGGCCTGTGCCATGACCCCGGGACAGCACCCTGCCTCCTGGATTCGGGCTTCTCAGCCCTTCCAGACCCCGGAGCCGGCTGCATCTGGGAGGAGGGTGCTTGGGGATATCCCTGGCCATGAGCCCATCACTGCACCACGTCCTCCTAAATAAGGTCCTGGGTTGAAGAAGACCCTGCTGAGAAACATGGCAACAGAGGGCTCGTTCCACCTCCACTGTGGAGACTGTGGAGATGGGAGAAGAAGGTCCAGCACCTGAGGGGTGCTTAGTTAGGAGAACAGGCTGTCCCACCAACAGAGAGGATCCCACAGGACTGGCCTGCAGAGGCTGCCCAGTGGCCACAGCCACGCCAGCCTTGATGAGCACAGCTGTCCAGCTCAGGTGTCCCTGCACCCTGGGCACCAGGGTGGCTTTGGTGTTGGTCAGTAAGCTACCCTCAAGGAATCCAGGGAAAGACATGGGCCAAGGCACTAGGATCACTCCCATGTGCACCCTGCATTTGACCCCTCACTGCAGGGACAGGAGCATCTCCACACCCTGCGCCATCCCACTGGCTGAGTGGTCCCACCGGCTGCACCTGCTGGGAGCCTGGTCTCTGCAGGGAGGCCCCTGAGAGGCGAGGTCCAGGTGCACTGGGAGGGTTCCACCACTGTGACGGAATACCCAACGTAAGCACAGGCCAAAAGAGGAAAGGTTGGTTGGGCTCAGTTTGCAGTTTCAGTCCCTGTTGGTCGGCTGGTTTTTTGGTCCTGGGGCAAGGTGGCACTTCAGGACAGAGGCTTGTGGCAGAGGAGGCGACTTCACCTCATGGCAGCCAGCAAGCAAAGAGACATCAGAGGGCGGGCACCCAACATCCCCCCAAAAGTTCCCTCCCAGTGACCCAGCTTCCCGTGCCTCCTCAAAGTGCCTTGGTCTGGGGACCGTGCCTTTAACCCAGGGGACTTTGGGGACATTCATGATCCAATTGATGGCAATCAGTCATTGAGGGCCTGTCCACAAATAGGGTCAGTGCAGTTCACATGGGGACCCAGGTAGTACCTGCTGACTGGTTCCTCCAAGAGGCACAACAGACCTCTCCTCACCCTCTGACCTCCTGCCTCACCATGTCACTGCTCCTTGTCCCTTTCTCTTCTGCCACTGTGATGCCATCTGCCATGAAGCCTTCACCAAAGCTCTCAGACTTCCAGAACCATGAGCTAAATAAATCTCTTCACTGTAAAGATTGCCCAGCCTCAGGTATTTTGTTTTAGCCCTTCACCACTGACCTTCAGATCTCATACTCTCCAGATCCCCAGCAGCCTC